TCCCCCCCCCCCCCCCCCAGGTGATGCCCTGCTTCGCGGTCCTCCCGCAGAGGGTGCTCTGTGCTCCACCTCCTACGCTGGGCGGGCCAGCTCTCCACCCACATCACTAGTGACGGGGTGCGAGAGGATCTGTGCAGCGTCGGACCCTTTCCATTTGCCTTCCTTTCCCATTTTGTTTAATTGATTTTTTTAAAGCTATCGAGTGGTATGAATTCTTTATATTTTTTAAATGTTAAGCATTTTTTATTTTATTTCATTTTTGCATTGTTTATTTTTTAATTTTTTTTCAATATATGAAATTTATTGTCTAATTGGTTTCCATACCACACCCAGTGCTCATCCCAAAAGGTGCCCTCCTCAATACCCATCACCCACCCCCCATCAACCCTCAGTTTGTTCTCAGTTTTTAAGAGTCTCTTATGCTTTGGCTCTCTTCCACTCTAACCTCTTTCTTTTTTTTCCTTCCCCTCCCCCATGGGTTTCTGTTAAGTTTCTCAGGATCCACATAAGAGTGAAACCATATGGTATCTGTCTTTCTCTGTATGGCTTATTTCACTCAGCATCACGCTCTCCAGTTCCATCCACGTTGCTACAAAGGGCCATATTTCATTCTTTCTCATTGCCACATAGTACTCCATTGTGTATATAAACCACAATTTCTTTATCCATTCATCAGTTGATGGGATTTAGGCTCTTTCCATAATTTGGCTATTGTTGAGAGTGCTGCTATAAACATTGGGGTACAAGTGCCCCTATGCATCAGTACTCCTGTATCCCTCGGGTAAATTCCTAGCAGTGCTACTGCTGGGTCATAGGGTAGGTCTGTTTTAAATTTTCTGAGGAACTTCCACACTGTTTTCCAAAGTGGCTGTACCAATTTGCATTCCCACCAACAGTATTAAGCACTTTTTAAAGATACATGATTTGCAAATATTTTTTCCCATTCCATAGGTTGCCTTTTCATTTTGTTGATGCTTTTCTTTACCTTGTAGAACTTTTCAGCGTGATGGAGTCTCACGTCTTTATTTTTGTTTTAGTTGCCCTTGCTTCTGGTGTCAGATCCGATCATTGCCGAGACCAGTGTCTGCCCCCTATATTTTCTGTCTAGGAGTTTTATGGTCTAAACCAAAGGTCTTACTTGACCTTACTTTAAATCCACTTTGGGGGGCGCCTGGGTGGCGCAGTCGGTTAAGTGTCCGACTTCAGCCAGGTCACGATCTCGCGGTCCGGTCCGTGAGTTCGAGCCCCGCGTCAGGCTCTGGGCTGATGGCTCAGAGCCTGGAGCCTGTTTCCGATTCTGTGTCTCCCTCTCTCTCTGCCCCTCCCCCGTTCATGCTCCGTCTCTCTCTGTCCCCAAAATAAATAAACGTTGAAAAAAAAAATTAAAAAAAAAATAAATTAATTAAAAAAAAATAAATAAATCCACTTTGGGTTGTGCATAGTGTCAGATAGTGGTCCAGTTTCATTCTTCTGTATGTGGCAGTCAAGTGGTCCCAGCACCATTTGGTGAGGAGAGTGACCTTTCCCCCATTCTACATTCTTGGCTCTTTGTCAAAAATTAATTGACCGTATACGCATGCTTTTATTTCTGGGCTCTCTGTTCTGTTTCATTGATCTGTTTGTTTTTAGGCCAGTACCATACTGTTTTGATTACTGTAGCTTTGTAATATACAGTAGTTGCAAGTCAGGAAGTGTGATGACTCCAGCTTTGTTTTTCTTTCTCAAGGTTGCTTTGACTGTTCTATACAAACTTTAAGGTTGTTTTTTTTTTCTATGTAAACTGTGCCATTAGAATGTTGATAGGGATTGGCTTCGACAAATCTGTAGATTGCTTTAGGTGGTAGGGACATTTAAACAAAATTTTTTCTTCCAATTCATGAGCATAGAATAGCTTTCCATTTATTTGTGTCTTCTTCAGTTTTTAGAATTTTCAGTATTAAGAATTTTTAGTATTGGGGCGCCTGGGTGGCCCAGTCAGTTAGGCATCCAACTTTGGCACAGGTCATGACCTCAGGGTTTGTGAGTTCGAGCTCCACATTGGGCTCTGAGCTGACAACTTGGAGGCTGGAGCCTGCTTCAGATTCTGTGTCTTTCTCTGTCCGTTCCCTGATTATGCATGCGCGCGCGCTCTCTCTCTCTCTCTCTCTCTCAAAAATAAATAAATAAACATTAAAAAAAAGAATGCTCATAATTAAGAGTTTTATATAGTTGTCCCTATCTTATCTGTTTATCAGGTACCAGGAGAGGTATCTGTAAACGATAGTTCTGGTGGAGCCAGACTATAATGGTTCCAATTCTGTTTGAAAGCTTCCTCTTTCTTTTTGAGTTCCCGGTGTTTGGTGGTGAATGCCCCCAAGATAGATGGGCCTGCCGAAAGTTAGTGAATGCACCATGCACCTTTTTCTCCTTTTGTTCTAGGCTGATTTTGATAGGATCGCCGAAGATGTGAAGAAGATGAAAACAAGGCCAAATGACGGAGAACTGAAAGAACTCTATGGGCTCTACAAACAATCTGTAGTTGGCGACATTAATATTGGTATTTCATACATATGTATATGTATATGTATGTTAATATCTTTTAAATAATATATTTAAAAATAATGATAAGTTTCATTTGAACAGTGTTTGTTAGAAGTATAGAGTAAAAAATAACCTTGAAAATGTATCTGTCCTTCTTTTGGCAGAGTGTCCAGGAATATTAGATTTAAAAGGCAAGGCTAAATGGGAAGCATGGAACCTCCAAAAAGGTTGTTAATTCTTTAATAAGTGAAATAAACTTTCTTAATTGCCCGATACATCAGTGAGATAATCTGTTTTGTCTTTCTAGGGTTATCGAAGGAAGATGCCATGAGTGCGTACATTGCTAAAGCAAAAGAGCTGATAGAAAAATACGGAATTTAAAATTCAGCTATGAGAAAGTTTTTCTTTTGAAACCTTCATAACGCTATCATGACCTCACATCTGGACAAGAAATGCACGGTTAACTCTACATGTCGTGAATATTTTTGCCATTAACATGAATTGTAATCCTTAATTAGCGGTACACTGAAACTGTGTTATGTAATGAAATTTTACTTGCCTAAACCAGATGATTGTAAAAGTTCTTTAAAAAAAATTTTTTTTTTCAACGTTTATTTATTTATTTTTGGGACGGAGAGAGACAGAGCATGAATGGGGGAGGGGCAGAGAGAGAGGGAGACACAGAATCGGAAACAGGCTCCAGGCTCCGAGCCATCAGCCCAGAGCCCGACGCGGGGCTCGAACTCACGGACCGCGAGATCGTGACCTGGCTGAAGTCGGACGCTCAACCGACTGCGCCACCCAGGCGCCCCGTAAAAGTTCTTTTAAAAAAAAATTATTGCTCTGGTAGTATGTGCACAAAAACATTAACCATTTTTTTTTTTTGGCTTACCAGTTTTTCTACAGAGAGTTAACATTATTGGTGTATAATCAAAACAGTTTATTAAGAACGAGTAACAAGGTTTTTCCTTTGTTGCACCATGTAGCTTTGGGATTCTCACTGACCTGGGGCCTTGGTCAACCATAGACATCTGTGGTTCTTGTCCTTACTCTGTAATTCTTTACTAGGTGACTGAGGCAAATTATGTAACCTCGCTAATCAGCCTCCTCTATAGAGTAGGGGGAAAATCAGTCTCACAGGGTTGTAAGAAATGAATGAGGAAACTATAATACTTTAGTTTAAAGCATACGTTATGAAAAACCTAATAACAAATAAGCTAAAAATTTCAAAAAGAAACTTATGAGTCGATGACTATTCAAAGAAAGAAAAAAGCTACCTATTTTTTCTCTAAATTTCTACATTTAAGACAAACCAAAAAATCAAATGTAGTATCTAGTATTAATAAACCTACGACTACTCTACTGCTTAAGCTCAATTTTTATCATAGTGAAAATGCAGAGTCTGGAATATCATATTGGCCTAATCCTCCGTCTTTCTTGCGGGCACACAGCTTCCCTGGAGGAAGGTGGCCTTCTTTTAGCAGTTCTAGAATCTGTCTGAGATTGCATAGGATAAACATCATCAAAACCAGTGTAACTCTATTCCCTGGATAAGGGTGTGCATTTGGTATGCTATGACCAGTGAGGGACAGTTCATTTCATGTGACTTAAAAAAAAAAAAACAAGCAAACAAACAACCTAGGTTGACTAGATGAATTTCCAGGGAAGTGAAAAAAGCCAGTCTCAAAAGATTACGCTGTGTATGATTCCATTTATGTAACGTTCTTGAAATGGCAGACATAGAGGACGGAATAGTGATTGCCACAGAGGATGGAATAGGGAGGTAGGTGTGGCTTTAAAGAACAGCAGAAGGGATCCTGTGGGGATGGAATGTTCTGTCCCTTGACTCACAGTGAACATCTAGCTGTAACATTACACTGAGTTTTGTGCATGTTACCATTGGGGGCAACGGGGTAGATCTGTATTATTTCTCACAACAACATGTGAATATACAGTTATCTCAAAATAACAAGTTTAATAAAAAAATCTAGCTTGATTCCTATTCCGGAAAATTTTGGAAAGTAGAGATGATTCTCATCTCTACTAAATCTTCCCTAAAGATAGTCAGGAGTCTTCGATGATGACGTCAGCGTCCAAATCCAAGAAAATTTAGACGTCAGCAATGACGGGGCCGCTCCTTCTAATCGAGGGCCTGGAAGCTCCCAGAGCTATTCCCATGTGACTTCGCCTTCACCGGGAGGAGAGGCAGCGGAGAAGGCGCACCTCAACAGCCTGACATCGGCTACATCATGCAATTCCCGTTGTGGACCATATTAACTAACAGTTGTTCAAATGAATGATCACAAATCAAATGACTTTTGTGTCGCTCCTTCCATAGGGAGCCCTGGAGATGGTGTCACGCCAAAGGGTAAAAAGCACAGCAGGTACTAAGCACGTATTATGATTGGCTTGAGGCTATTTTTAGCTCAAGTTGATTACATGAATTCTAACTCCTCCCACAATGAATTTTTAATATATTTTTTAAAGATTTTATTCTAAGTAATTTCTTCACCCAGTGGGAGGCTCACACCTACAACCATGAGATCAAGGGCCACACGTGCCACGACTGAGCCAGCCGAGTGCCCCACCCCACAATGAATTTTTTATATTATTTGCTCTTCTGTTAGGAATGATCAACTATGAAAACTACGTCCTGTAGGCATTTTGCTCTACCTCATTCACTAACACAGACGTGAACCCCTATTATGTGATCATTAGCAAACCGATGCTTTAAAATGGAACATTTTAATACGGTTCGCTGTGTTAGGCACCGGAAGCCTTCGGGAAGACACATCAGTGGCACCACGTAGCGGGGTTTATCGCGAAGACCCACAGGACATGGGAAGTCGGGTCTCTGCACCGACGGGGTTCCGGAGACAAACACAGACTTGGACTTGCCAGCCCCAAGCGTTCGGTGCCTCTTGTCCCGTCAGCAGGAGGCTGTGATCCCACGTGCGGTGTTGTGCCTTCCGCGGACTCGGCTGGTTTTCCCTGTATTTCTGCATTCTCCCCTTTGAGCTCCTGTGTCCCCCAACTGTTCTGCTTCCTCCCCGTGTCCGCACGGCGTTGTCCCAGGGCGAGCCTGAGGCCTCGTGTCGGGCACGGCATTCGCGCGTGGCCGCTCCGCACACCGGAGGCGGGATACCAGACTGGCTGTCCTCGGGAGGACTCCTGCCGGCCCGAGTCCATCGTTGCAGGGCGCCACCGGGGCCCACGGAGCCAGCAGGTGCCGGGTGTAGGAGGGGCCCGCAGGGAGCGGCCGGGCTTGGGGGGCTTTCCGAGGACTGGCCCGTGGAGACGGCGGTGATCGCTCGGGACTATCTTATTTTAAAAAACAGCAAGAGGTTACATGTTCTCATTGAAAGGGAGGACCCCACATTTCAAACTATGGATCAAGCTTTGAACCAAGCGTGTTGATGAAACCATGTATTTTCTAGCATTTCCCCCCTATCATTTCCACTGTTAAAATAATTGAAGGGAAAAAAATGGATGATTCACCGAGCAGAAATTTTGCTGACAGATGAGACGCCTCCCACAGATGAGTCTCAAATGAGATTCTGATGTGAAGATAAAGGACCCTGCCAGAAATACTCTCTACCCATTCGTCTTTGGTCTCCAGATGCAGAAACTTGCTCTGTGAAGAAATACATTTCTGTATAACACATCACCCCTGATAGTAGCAAATGCATAATTTTCCAACCTCTGAATAAAGCTAACCAACTACTTCTCTGCGGGGCACCTGAGCGGCTCAGTCGGTCCAGCCTCCGACTTCAGCTCGGGTCGTGATAAGGTGGTGGTTCATGAGTTTGAGCCTCGCATCTGGCTCACTGCTGGCAGCCCAGAGCCTGCCTCCAATCCGCAGGCTACCCCTCTCTCTGCCCCTCTCCCACTAGCGTGCTCTCAAGAATAAACATTAAAAAAAAAAAAAACTAACAAACTACTTCTGAAAAATTGAAGAGTATCATACAATCACTTGGGGCTACCTTCAGACTGAAAGGGAAAATATCTAAAAATAGGCAAGTATCAGTAGCTGTAGACACTTGGTTATGTAGTTCTTGAGGAAGTTCTTCTCCTTGGAAGTTTCCATAAAGATGACAGTGATTTCCTGGAAGGACATGAATATCAACACTGGCATCAGTTACATCTTCCCAGGCCAAAAATGAACAAAATTACGTTTAACAACAACTGATGCCTACCACCGCCAACAAAAGATTTACTTCCAGATACTGCCTTTCTAAAGTTGACACCGACGATAGAGTTACGTCTAAGGTCTCATGTTCTATAAGTCCTGCGTTTTTAATTTCTCTAAGACCTATCAGTATACAGTGCTATTATCAGCATTCTCTCCGTTTACACTAAATAAAGCCTCGGCCAATTTTCTACTTACCGCAGGAACTGCTGGTTGATATTAGCTGAAAATCACCAAACAAATCCCTGGAAATACAGCAAGCTATCAAAACAATTTCACCTTCTATATCCTTGGCTATATCTTCAGATCCAATAAAACGTGTTAAATCACAGGAAGGAACAGCTTCGGATGGTGGATCAAAGCAGCAGATCTTAAGAGCTGGTTAGTAACTTTTCATCATCGACGTCTCGGAACCTTTCCCTGTTAATGTCATGAAATGTGGTGCGTCTTCGCTTTCCAGCAATACAAGCATGTTTCCCAGTGCTACCTACACTCGCACCTGTCAGTACCTGCCTGAGACTCACTTGGCCCCGGCCATTTTCCAAGGTCATCTGACTTCTAGAACAATGCAGGTGGCAGGCAGCACGAAGACAGGCAGGCACCCAGTCCAAGGAGGCCAGTACCAACCAGTATCTTTAACTGTCATCCCCAGAAACATCAACCTATTTCCCAGCTCTCCAGACGGTTGCCACGTACAGAGCAAAAGCAGGTTCAGGAAAGCAGGGCTCCTGAGTGGTCTCCACCTGTTCTCAGCCGGCACAACAACAGCATTTATGAAGCTGGGTGCTGGGTGCTGTGTTCACCATAAACAGTCCGATTACTTCAGCGGCTTAGACACTGGCTGGGAGGCGACTAGAGAGAGGCGTTAAGTGCTGCCAGGTTCAGGGTGATCTGTGAGCATGACAGCCGGGGTTGGGAAAGCGCCAAGCGAGGGCTCCCTGGGGAAATGGAGCTGGTTCGGAGGTCTGGATGGGTAGGGAAAGGATTGGCCGAGGGAGAGAGGCAGCAGGGGTAGAGGGACTAGAACGAGCACAGACTGTCGGCCGTCATTCAGAGAGCAAAGCGGGGATGGGGACAGATTAAGGGAGAGGGGGTAGGCAGGGGCCAAGTCTAGGCCTCCTAAGTGATTCTGGTCGTCCTAAAAGTGACAGGAAGCCACCACAAGGATTGAAGGCAAGATGTGTCACGACCA